ATTTGTATTCTAGATCTCAGGGCTAAGAACAAATAAAACCCAGTTTTCTAACTCACATCTCCTTTCTACAAATTGTCTTCCAAGAAATTTTGAATTTAGCTTAAAACACTTTTACAAAATTAAAATTAAAAACTTTTCTAAGTTTTATTTACTGAGAGAGATAAGAACAAAGTTATAAACTTCATAATTGTACACAACGACCCCAATTTACATAAAAATGGGTCAGTTTAAACAATCTTTTAAAACGTTTAAAAATCCCATCATTTTTTAATTAATTAAACAATTTTAACTAATTTGAAAGGAAAATCTATTGAGCACAAAAATAAGAAGGCATTGATAGATAAGAATTGAGCCTTTCCCGCAAACTTAATTTTTCAAGCACCTATATATTTGCAATCTGATGGTGGAAACCTTTTATATATCAAAGTTTTATTGATATCTAACAGAATTTGTATTTTGAAATATTTAAGGTTTACGACATTGGTTTGTAAATATGTATGGATTAGAAAATCTGAGTTTTTGACTCAATTTCTTTACTTTTTTTGCTTTAAAGCAAAAGGTTCTTTTGAGGTTTCTGATTTAGTAAAATTAAGACGTTCCAGACTTAAATATTTTTAATCTAAAGAAAAAATTGTGCAATTTTTATACAAAAAAGTCAGATCTTAGAGTGATCTAAAGTTGACATATTAAACCAAAATTCTCAACTATAAAAGTAACTAAATCATTTTTATTATTTATAAACCTTTAAGATTCTAACTTAATATTAATTGTTGTATTTCTTATAACTGAAGGTGAAGTACTTTGTATTCTAAAAGTTTTGTTACTTTAATTATTTTAAGTTTTAACCGGTTTTACAAGTTTTTTACGTTTTTTTTCGGATTTTGGGCCTACTGTCTTTGAATCATTAAGTCTATCACCAGAAAAAATCTTAACCATGAAAAAATGGAACTTTAAAAACTTTTGGATATTAAACTGATATAAGTAAAAAAAGTAAAAAAGCATGAATATGTGTATGATAACATGTATCTATTTTTAGTAATAATTTTTAGTAGTTATCTCTGTTTTGGTGTTTGATAAACTCTTGGACCGATTATCCAAAAATAGCTAAAATTGTAATTTAAGACCAAGTGCGGGTAAACGGCGGGAGTAACTATGAACCACTGGGCAATGATGGGTTCCCAAGCTAGTCACATTATTTCATCGAAATCAATTATTAGATTTTAATAATGTATATTTTTGGTGGTATGTACATTGTACAATTCTGATTCTTATTTAAGAACTTTTAAACACTTTAAATGCATTTTAGTGTAAACGTACAATTTTGATCCTTAGAATATTTGTTGAAACTTTTAAACTTTAAATGCATTTTTGGCTGAGAATTCAGTGCAGTGCATAGATGTTTAAACCTTATTTACATGATTAGGAGAGATGCAAGATAGAATAAATTTTACAATCTTGAAGTGCATTCTTCAAGTTCGTTTCTTCTTCTTTAATTTAACGTTCATTCTCCACTAAACCATCCTATATTTCCGGTCAGTGCAGAGAACTGAAGTAAAACCTGCTATATTTACGGTCAGTGCAGAGAACTGAAGTAAACCCTACTTTATCTCCGGTCAGTGCAGAGAACTGAAGTAAACCCTGCTATATTTACGGTCAGTGCAGAGAACTGAAGTAAACCCTGCTATATTTACGGTCAGTGCAGAGAACTGAAGTAAACCCTGCTTTATTTACGGTCAGTGCAGAGAACTGAAGTAAACCCTGCTATATTTACGGTCAGTGCAGAGAACTGAAGTAAACCCTGCTATATTTACGGTCAGTGCAGAGAACTGAAGTAAACCCTGATGTATCTCCGGTCAATGCAGAGAACTGAAGTAAACCCTGCTATATTTACGGTCAGTGCAGAGAACTGAAGTAAACCCTGCTTTATTTACGGTCAGTGCAGAGAATTTAAGTACGGACCAAAATCTTAGTTTTGGTTGTGTATTCTGATTAAATAAAAATCAAAAAATTTAAATTCACAGGGGGGGGGGCAATTTGACTCCCCTCTAAATCCCATATTTGATGTCCAAATATGACAAATTATACATCATTAGAAATCTCTTATGCTCTATTTTTAGAATATATTTGGAAATTTGCAAAAATTGAATTTTTTTACAAAATCTAGTTATGAAATAAAAAATGTTTGCAAACAAAATTTAAAAAAATTTATAAAATATACATTTTTAAAAAAGCCATTGACCATGCCATTTCAAAACATTTTGCAAAATTTTAAATAACAAGAAAAATTTCCTTTGACAGTTTGTATGCAAATAATTTGCAAAAATTTCTTTGCAATACTTGTGCAATCCGTTTCCTTATGTCATAAGCTTTCCAAAAAAAAAAAGTAGTCATTCAGGCAGTGTGCCTGAGGACTCCGGCAGTTAGTATTAAAGCCCGGTTTTAGGATTAAAGGGAGTGCTATGGGTATTTAGAAAAAAGGTAAAATATTCTAACATTCTGAGACTAATACTGTTTGAGTTGTGTAAAAAATACTACGGGGGGGGGGGGTAAATTAACCCACCCCAGCAGGAATAGGGTTAAACAGCTTTAGAGTCTATATATTAACATTCTATTTTTATACTAAATCTTATATCTTTTGAACCCGGCTCTTTTATAATATTAATATCCACAAAGGATGAGTCTATATAGACTACTTGGAACTATTTAACCCTAAACAGGCTGGAGGGGGGGGGGCGTTTTGCGCCCCCTCCCCTATAGTTTGTTTGTCCTAGCACTCTCATTTTTGACACTATCACCAGGAAGTTTTGTGACTTTTGATAAATAATAATTTAAAGGTGTTTTTGTTAATAAATTATTTTTTTTTAATTTATAGGGTAAGGTACAGGGCAAGAAAAAGTCAGTGAAAAAAAAATCTAAAATAGCCCATAACTTTTTTTGTTACCAAAGCTACAGATCTAAAAACTATTTTTTTGAAAAGCCCTTGAAAAATGCATGTAGAAACGTGTGTCACACTTTGATATTTGCTTAAAACAAAAAAAAAATATTTTTTTTTCCACTTTTTTTACTCTTTATTATGCATTTTTTCTACCCTTCCTAGCACCAAAACTATTAAAGTTATCGGTCTTATTTTTTCTTTGATCTGGCCATTAAAAATTGGGCTATAACATGCATTTCAATCTTATACCTATTTTCTAAGGCCATTTTCTAGGTGGGGGGGGGGGGTGCCAAACGCCCCTCACCAGGCTATACATAGATTCAGACCCCCCAGCCTTTATAGGGGTAAATATGATGATCACAAGGTTAAATCTTCTGTCTTGAAGATATTTTTTTATAATCTGTTTTATTATTTTGCAAAGAAGTTTGTAGTTGCAGAGAATCGTATAGCTAAGGAAATAGACAATATATAAATTCTGTGCAGTCTTTACTAAAGAATCATGCTTTGCGGGTCAACCTTTAATGAAAAGATTCAGATAAGCACCACATAACTCTTCTACCAAGGTCTTAGAGTATAGGAAATATGTATTTAAATTATAAAAAAGGAAACAATAATGTTTGATACTAATAAATTGAATAAAGCTGGAGCTCTCTGGCAGACTCTCGGCCTTCTTTCCGCCCAATATGACGGGTTGAACCTCCTCGAGGGGGGCGGCACATACAAAGACGTCACTTCCTCAAGGATTGAGAATCTTGAAAAGTTTTATTAAACCCCCCCCCTTTCCCATTTCCTTCCACTTGTTTCCTCAAAAGTAATCATAAAATTCCCAAAAGAAATAAAACTTTTCAGCAATATGTGCAATAAATATTTAGGATTTCTATAGATATATTTTCAACTGTTCTAATAAATGTTGAAATATTGTTCTTTCTTTTATCTTAACCCTATCCTGTATTGGACTATTTTTGTCTAATATAGATTGTTTGGGGGGTTTTAACCCCCCCCCCCACAACCTCGGCCTTAGAGTTGAGATAGGAAAGTGTTCCAAGTCCAACTATTCAAGGCCTGCTCGTTAACCCTATAAAGACTGGGGGTTCTGAATCTAGGTAAAGCCAATTTCAGTTGTCAGATTTTGAGCTTTCCAATGGTGGGGGGGGGGATCAGATTGACCCCCCCCCCCAGCGTATCCTGGTTTTCAAGTAGCCCAGCAGGGATAGGGTTAATACAATTTATAATTATTATGTCAAATCCAGGTTTACCTGAAATGAGAGCCTGTATCCTCTTATCTCTTTTTCTAGAAATATTGATTCTTAAAACAACAAAACTAAATCACTATTTAATCTAAATATTTGGCATCATTCTACTTCTCTTTCTCATGCTTCCAGATTCCTTTTTTCGTACCTAACTTTACAATATACAGAGTTACCCACACAGGATTAGACTTTAGAAGCAGATGGACGGATTTTTGTCAGCCTATTTTCCTGTAGCTTTAAACTTTTTGCTTTCATTTAAAAACCTTTTTTTTTCGTATTCAGACAATAGAGCAAACACAGTTCTTAAAAAAACACACCTTTTTTCTAACGTTTTTTCCTTGTGACCTGTTTCAGGCCATTTCCTTCCCTTTCTTACCCTCTCCTCTGGGTCATTCCTCCCCCCAAAACCAGACCTGCAACTTCGGCCCTCCCTCTCCTCTTTTCTGGTTCACCCCTCCCTAACCCCTCGGCCCTCCCCCTCCTTTTTTATGGTNACCCCCCCCCAGCAGGAATAGGGTTAACAAAATTGGCTTAAATTGAGGTATAATAGAACAGATCTAATAAATATCACAATAAAAATTTAGTCTTATGCTAATATTTATCTTTATGACCTAAACAAAATAAGTAAATATTTTCACCTTAAAAGATAAGCCTATTATAAACATATGTTCAACAAGGTAAAATATTCCTCACAAAATATTGATAAAAAACTCACTTTTATGATTTCACAAATGATAACATTTTAATTTCAAAAATCTTAAGTGATATTAAACCCCTTTTAAAAAATTAAAGCGTATAAAATCACTGGTCAAAAGGTCAGGAACAAAACAGTCCTTCATCATGTTTGGAGGAAAACAAACTCTGCTCCTCTTGGCAGTTTATTTAACCCTTAGGAATATTTTTATTGGATTAAATAAAAATTTTGAATTTTTTCCATTTAAATTTGATTAAATGATTAGAAAGAACTGATTATTGATTAAAAGTTTGGTATATTTTTACAAGTTTCTATTCTAGTTCCAATAAAAATTAATAGTGATTGCAAAATCAAGCTGAGAGAAGAAGTAACTGCTGATGTAGGTCCTATGGGAAGAATTAAAGGAGTTGTGACAAAGGCTAGCTTATACCCAGATGCTCCCCACAGCAACAGACCAATCTACATGTTCAGAAATATTCCATACGCTGAGAACTCCATAGCAGGACAATACAGATTTACCCAGTCTGAAGTAAGAACAACTCCTTATAATACAGACGGAGAAGAACCTCTGGATGCTACTAAGACAGGTCCACTGTGCCAGCAGGGAACTTTAAATGAAAACAGTGTTGAAGCAGTTTTCAATATGACACTTGAGGAGTTCTTAATTTCAGCACTTCCTGATATAGTTGAAGGATTGATCCCTCATTCTGTAATTGCTCTTCTGCTGAAGACTATTGAGTTCCTGACAGAAGTTGAACCTGGTACCCTTGATCCAAGCAAGAAGATTAAAGATGTTGCACATGACTGGTTGGACATAGATTTCAGTGTGAATGAAGAATGCTTACATTTAGCTGTGTCTACTCCCCTTCTTCCAGGCGGAACTCCAAAACCCCTTTTTCCTGTTATGTTCTTTATTCATGGTGGTGGTTATTCAAGTGGATTTCAGTTCAAGATGGGTCCGGAGAGGTTGATGGCGTGGGGAGATGTTGTCCTGGTTGCAATTAACTACAGACTAAATACACTGGGCTTTCTTTGTTTAGATACAGATGAAGCTGCAGGCAATATGGGTATGTTGGATATGGTAACTGCTTTAGAATGGGTTCATAATAATATTGCTTACTTTGGCGGAGACCCAAGTCAAATAACAATATTTGGGGAATCTGCAGGAAGTGCCACTATTGGACATATGCTGCTATCAAGTGGTACAAATGGGTTGTTTGCACGAGGAATTGGATCATCTGGTTCACCATTAGCATCCTGGGCTTTTGATAAAGAACCTGAGAGAAATGGTAGAGAGATTGCAGCACTAGCTGGATGTGAAGATGAAGACCCTAATCTACTTGTGAAGTGTCTTCGTAACCTAGATGCAGATGTTATAACATCTGCTTTTGATACTCACCAAAGGAATGATAGAAAAAATGGAGGATTAGGATTTGGGGGCAGTGGTCCTTGTGCTCAATCTAAGGGGAAAAAGAAGTTTTACAATAAAGGGGAAACTCCCCATGATATCTTATTCTCTGGAAACTATGAGCATGCACCAATGTTCTTTGGAGCAAACAAAAAAGAGGGATCATATGTCTATACAGTTCTCTACAATGAATTCTTGGTTCCAAATGGCTTGGACAAAGACAAAGACTTTATAACCCATGGATTCATTCCAAAGTTAATGGAAACTACTGAAGTTGGAAACTATTATGCGTTCAAGGAAATGGTAGCAGAAAGCTATTTTGATGAGGGTCAAATTGGTGACCTGTATCAAATGATTCCAGGTGTTGAGGATTTGCTAAGTGTATTCTTTTTCAAAGCTAATGCTTATGAACTTATACAACAAAACTCCAAATATGCTCCGTCCTATTGGTATGCATTAGATTACTCTAACACAAAGAAATCCCTCTTCCACCTACAATACTTGGATCCTGCAGGCAAAGCTAATTTGACAAACCCTCAATCATCCCATGGAGATGAATCTATTTTATTGTTTGATTTAGAAGTACCTTTGATCTTCTGTGATATTCAAGCAATTGCAACTGATGCCCTTGAATGCTTAAGTCATATTGATGCTCTATTTTGTTTAACCCTGCCAAGTGGTGCATTTAGAAATAAATGGCATGACTGTCTAACCGGAGAGTTAAATGAAGAAGAGCTACAAGTTTCCGGGTATGTTGCTCAGCTTTGGACAAACTTTGCTATGAATGGAGAACCAGGGTTAGGATTGAACTCCTGGAGTATTGAAAACCCTTGGTATGTAAAGATTGATAAGAGTGTTGAACTGAAGAAGGATTATACTAAAGAGTATCACATTGCACTAGAAGAATTCAGATATGGAGCTGTGCCTTAAACATACTTAAAGTGTAAATACATATATCTATGCATGATTTAAACATACTATTTAATTGTATTTGTCCCATTTCTATCATTGCTAAGTATACTATTCAAGAAATTTGCATTTCATTTGATATTTTTATTTTATTTTATCAAGTAATACTTAAATACATAAAGAGGTTGAGGTCAGAGAGTTTTATTATTTGTGAAATTACTTTTTGATATGGATATGGAGAATTGCTTGATGAAAACTTATTTATTATTACAGGTAATTCCACCTGACAAAATCAAACTTCCTCATTATTATTTCTGATTTAAAAAGGCAGATTTGACTTCCTTAGGTTGTATATTTTCATAAAGACACAGTCAAGGATAAACTGCAGTAATTACGGTGCTTAACATTCACACACTATAGATTCAGTAGAAGTAAATATTTCCATTTACTATTAGTGCGGATTAAAGGATTCATATATAGATAATTGGATGATGAGATAGATAGAAAGATGGATGTTACCACCATTCAATTTCTATTGGTGCAGAATAGACAACATACACATGGCTGAATCCTATTTGGATCACTCACTATAGGCAGTTCATGGTTTTGACTTGTGGAAATACAGGGTGGTACATTAAAGTTTTTCCTCTTGGATTCAAATAGGGGGCATTTTTTAGAGTTATTCAGTTAAAATTATAATCCGAATGAACCTTTTAAGATTTTAAAATCAATAATGAAAGGAATTGAGTTTTTGCCACAAGCTCAAATTTGTTAAACTCTATATCTTTGCAACCAGATGGCGTAAACCGAAGATATTTCAAACTTAGACTATTTGATCTAACAGAATTCATAGTTAGAAATATCAAAGGTCTACAACATTGGGTTGCTAAGATAAAGGGGGAAACACTAAGAGTTTGTGGCAAAAACTCATTTCCTTTAGATTATCATTTTGCTAAAATAAAACTCAATTAACTCTGAATAGTAAGAAAACATTAAATGCAAAATTCAACAGCTACTTTTGGTTAAAATATTTATTAATGATAACTAATATCTTTATCTTTAAACAAGGCCCTCTAATTTACCCAAAACTATATCAGTTGCAAAGAGTTAGAAATATTGATATACATTTTCCCTTATCACTTATAGATTGATATAATATGCAGTTAATATTTGTGAAGCATAGTAAATATTAAAGTTTTTTTTAAGCTCTTTGATCGTAAAAACCAAACAAAATACAAATCTAATGGGAAATCAAGCTTAAATTTCCCCATAAATCAAAACCTAATTTGAAGAAACATATTTCTATTTCCCTTCTGAGGATTGAAAATATAAATAGAGTATTAAGGTTTTCTTTACTCTGCTTTCACCTCAACACTCATACAGGGTATAGAGCTCAACATAAAATATCAAATCCTATCAGTTCACACTTTAATCCTATTTCTTGTAACCCCTTAAAAGAAATAGGATTAGAAATAGCTTGGCTTTTTTCACTTTTTTTGTTCACCCTTTGTAAACAACCCATTTTGTTTATTTGTTTGTTCAGTAAAATTGTTCGTTTAGTAAAATCATTTTCAGAGGGGTACTTAAAAAAGAAAATATCTTGAAGAAAGTTTAGTTCGATTTTCTTTAAATTTTTTGACTATGCAATCTCTTTTATTTGATTCACAAGTAAATTCTTAATGATCCCGTGGATTTAATTTCAAGTTCTCCTCCATTTTAATAAAGGGATATGTCCGATTCACATCGAAAACCTTGAAACTTATTGCTGATCAATGATGTGGAAGATAATCTTGTTTTTTTTATTCTATAGCTGATAATTCTTATTTTGTTTGATTCTATAGCTGATAATTCTTATTTTGTTTTCTTCAGCAGAAATTCACATGTCCCATTTGTAAAGAAAATGAAAATAATCATCGTTAAAATTGAAAACATGGAAATCTAAATCATTATCAATCACAAAAAATTTTTTTATGGTACCTTTAGACATCGTTCATGTTTTTTTTTTAAATAAAGTGTCCCTAAAAAATAGTTCTATTTTAAGCTTATATTGTTTGATGATCTCATATTTTGTGCATTTTCCCTTTATCTGGACGAATCTTAAACTTTGCCAAGTGTTCTGGTTGAAACCTTTATGTACTTTCAAGTTTAGAAAACTCAATTTGAAATAAAAGTTATTCAGTTTTAAAATCTTTTTTTTTCATCTGTGTGATAATTTTTTGACATCCTTAGTTCACTTTAGTCTAGCAAAACCTTTTTTCCATTTAATTTTTGTCTCTAAATTAAACAAATTTATTTTTGCAATTAGTTATAGATGATTTTGTCTAACAAAAATGATTTAACATTTAAAAGTTATATGATTGTGTCGGAATTTTGAAATTTAACCAATAAGAAAGGTTTATTTGATATAAGATTTAGAAACCAAATATTAGATAAATATTTTCTGATAAAGGTTAATTGAATGAATTTACCTCAATATTTCATTTGTTTGTAATTGCACAGATAATCTGAAAAAAAACTATTGGGATGTGAGGAGTCTTCATTGAGGGGGGGGGGGGGGGGGTAGGTCTATGTTTTTTTTATATTAAACATTTTACTTGTTGCATTATACTTTATTTTTTACTAAGGATTTCTGATTTATATTTTAGAGTGGTTTTCAAGTTGTACTTATATATTATTACTTTAGTAATATTAATTTTATTCAGTGTTAACCAGAAAACTCAGGAATAGGAAGACAACTTTCTAGCAATAATTAAGGGAATCAGATGTTGGTATAAACCAAATAGTTGTTCTAGACATGTATTAAATGATTAAATCAGTTAATGAGTGAAATTAATCTGATTCAACTGAACAATTGCTAATTGTCTAATGTGTATTGGAATAATTAAAGTCATATATTGAGTCTAAAAGTTGTTGAGAGTTTTTTTTGTTCTGACTCTGTACATAAATATAAATATATACCCGCGGGATTCAAAATATATACCCCGCGGGACTCAAAATATATACCCCGCGGGATTCAAAATATATACCCTGCGGGATTCAAAATATATACCCCGCGGGATTCAAAATTAAACCCTGAGTGCGTTGCTGAATTCTGAAGGGGTTGAAATTCCATTGATTCAAATGATTCTGAAAGTAAATGTTATTCCTTTGGAAAGAGATGATTTTAACACGATGCATTAAAAAGTTTTTTTTTGTATTTACAATTACAGATCAGAGCTTTTATAACTTTCTATCTCTTTATTTCAGGATGGCAATTATGTACAGGAGGATATATTTCAATGCCAAAGCTTCCCAATGTCTTAACTCTAAACAGGCTGAATTGAGGGGGGGGGGGTGTCACCCCTCTAGTTTTATCAAATTGAATTATCTACATGTTTTTAATGCATAGGGTATAGGTACACAGGAAAGTTAAAATCCTGGTCCGTGATAAAACAAAAGCTAAAATAGCACATAACTTTCTTGTTATTTAGGCTATCTATATAATAAAATAAGACACTTGTATATATATATGTTGCCTATAGCCGGCCAAACGGCTGAAATTTGTTGTGGACACTCACGGGTGGCCGAGGGGTATTATAGGCTAAAAAAATTCTAAATATTTTTTTCAAATTTTTTTAAAAATATTTTTTTTCATGGGCAACCCTATTTAGATCTTAAAACACATTTTAAAAAGCCCATTAACCCTATCTCTGCTGGGGTACTTGAAAACCAGAATATGCTGGGGGGGGGGGGTTAATTTGACCTCCCCCCCTCTAAATTTCGCAAAACTTGTGCAATTCGTTTTCTTATGTCATAGGCTTTCCAAAAAGCGAAATTTTATCAAAATCTGACAAGTGGAAGTGGATTAAAACAAAGATTTAGTTTGTTATAGGAAAAAGCAGTCATTCAGGCAGTGTGCCTGAGGACTCAGCCAGTTAGTATTAAAGCCTGGTTTTAGGCCTAAAGGGAGGGCTTTGGGTATGTAGGAAAAGTCAGAAAATTTCAACAGCCTCAGACCAATACTTTTTGAGTTATTTAAAAAAACTACAGGGGGGTCAACTTGACCCCCCCCCCCAGCAGGAATAGGGTTAAAATGGGTGGAAAACTCGAGTCAAATATTGAAATCTATAAAAAAAAAATTATTTACATTTTTTGTCAAGCCTACCTTCTACCCAATTGGCTATGAACATCATATCATGCATTGAGTGTAGCCTTATATATTTACTCAAAGGTCTTTTTCTAGAGAGGGGGGGGGGGTCTTTACATAGATTCTGACCACCCAGTCTTTATAGGGTTAAATATAGTCCTAAAGCTGCGAAATGGCAACACATTACACAGTACACACTCCAGTATAAAGATGGGAAATAGATCATTAAGGAAATGAGCTTTTGTCAAAAACGCTAACTTTTAATCCGTATATCGTTTCACATCGATGTTTTAAACCTTCTTTATTTAAAACTATGTACTCTGTCAGATCAAAAGATCCAAGTTTGAAATATCAAAGGTTTACACCTTTATTTTGCAAAGATATTGGGACAAGAAAATTTGAGTTTGTGGCAAATACTTGTTATTTTATGCAAAATTGCTGGTAAGACTTTGTGCTATCGTGCAGCTCGATTTCCCACCAAAATAGGAATTTGGCTGATTGCATAATAAAATTAATAGCAAACGTGAAAGGATTTGAGTCTTTGCCACAAACTTAGATTTTCTAACCCCTATATCGTTGCAACCCAATGTCGTAGACCTTAGATATTTCAAACTATGAAGGCTGGTAGATCAAATGATCTAAGTTTGAAATTTCAAAGGTTTGCACCATCAAGTTCTTCAGTTAGTGACAAAGATTCAATTCCTTTACTTAATTGGTTGCACAACATTGTGTATTGTACAGAATCCCCCTTCACCCCCCTCGCTTTTTTCATTTGTGTTAAACAACATAATTTGTAGAAAACTTCACTGTTATGATTCTTTTCTCGAGTATTTGCAGTAAAAGGATACACGGAGAAACCATCTTTTACCCAATCAATCTTATTCTTGTTCTTTCTTCCTGGAAATCTGGTTAGAGACCATCTTTATAGAGATGGACATGTTCAATCTTTTTTCATTTCGTTCGTTCGTCGTCTGTAAATGACCCGTTTCGTTTTTCAATCATT